CTACCTCCTCAAGTAGAAGAAAACCATCTTTCTATTTACAATCAGGGGTGCTAGGGGTACACCAGTCGTGTACCCCATCTTGTACACCATATACACTCACCCCTCCCTCTCAATGGATAACCCATCCCCCACCTTTCATTCTCAGATCTAATCTCCATCACTCTCTCTCTACCCCTTCCCGACGCTGCAACACCATGCCTTCATCATCGTCGCCAGAGGAGTTGCTTCGTAGGATACTCCATGCCGCCTAGAAGATGCACAGTGTGGGCTTCCCCCTCACCAACCCATAAGCCTCACAACAGAGGCATCATCACCATCAGATCTAGATCGGATCATAGCGGTGAACCACGCATTCATCAAGTCCTATGCCGCCGCATCAACTCCTCCTCTACCGCCTGCTTCTCGTCATCGGTCACTCCTCCCCAACCGTCACCGAGTCTTTGTTCTTCAACAACTTCACATAAAGGTTTGATTCTGGTGGAGATGGGGCTGCAATTTTCAATTTGAGATACACAGACATGTACTGTCTGTGATCGATGAATTACAGATATTAATGTCTCTGAGTTAAACAATGTTAATTGCAGTTTCTTTTTCTTTTTGACAACATATGGAAAATTATACTGTAAAATATTCTTCATACTTGATTACTCCGTATTTGGTAATTTAAGGGGTTCAAATTTCATCAAAGTTACAACGATTTGAAGTATCTGTGTTGAAAGAGTTACAGACTTAATTTGTCTGTGTGACTAAATAGTACAGACATTCCTTGTTTGTGAAATATATTTACACGGAGAGTAATGGTCTGTTTTGATTCAGATTACAGAAATATCAAATGTCTGTGTTCAAGAAAATAAAGACTTTTAGTGTCTGTGTGACTAAACAGTATTGATTGTAATTTTTCATTTCTTTTTGTAAACATAAGAAAATTTCTGAAATGTTCTTGGTACAGTACTATTTCGTAGATTTGAAGGGTGAAATTTTCATCTAAATTACACAAATAATAAATGTCTGTGTATCAAGCATTATAGATATTTAGTGTTTGTGTAACTATACACTAGTAATTATAATTGTTTTTTACAATCTAGAGAAAATTGTGAAACATTCTTTATGATAACATTATGTGTGATGGTATAAATATAGCTGGGCGGGTTAACCGGGTTTAACCTGGACACTTGACCCGTAATATAAAACACACAACAAGAACACAAAGTATGACCTAGACCGGGTAAATCTCCTCAGTCCGAATTATATTTCTTACTCTGTCTCAAGAGTGTACTATTTTTAGTGAGAGAAAGAATGGATCCCCTCCTCTATCCAATATCATCATATTTATAGAGGAGGATTTGTGACCTTCCTCGTTCATCCATAGACAAAATAGGAAGCCCGTGGGAAGGTCACTGTACATAATCAATCTACTATTCAATCAATGAATTTAGCAACT